ACCTGCGACGCGGTCAACATAAAATAAACACACACCCTGCTCGCGGATCATGCATGCGACGCAGGTACACATAGAGGTACATGCTCAAACAATCAATCAAGAATTATCAGGGGACATTATCCAAATTAAACAAATCCTCTTTTAACAATTCGAAAAAGTAACGTTTAATCCCTTTTTAAATTCATTTACTAATCCAAGGTGATTTAAGCAATTCAAGTCGTCAATAAGTTTACAATTAATCCAAGTATAGCATGCTTTTGGGTCCTAGACTACCCGGACAATAGCATAATAGTTGCTACACACGGACTCTCGTCACCTCATGCGTACGTAGCCCCCACAAATAGGAGAAAATATCCAATTAATTCACCTATAGGGACAATTCCCTCTTACAAGGTTAGAAAGAAGACTCACCTTGCTCCGAAGACCCATAACCGGTATTCCACGCCCTTCCGAAGACTCTACTTAATGCACCACGCTCCAAAACTAGCCAACGGTTACGCAAATCCATTAATATATGCTCAGATATTCATTACAATCTAATTTACAGCAATTCCTAACTCCGGTCGAAAAGTTGACCAAAACGCCCTCGAGCCCACGCGCCCGGAATCCAAAATTTTTCGAAGGTAAAGGTTACCCATGACCTTAGGAACTAAAATATATAATTTTCACTAAATTCCATACTTAATATCGTGGTTAAATTCCAAGAATGAAATTTCTAGGTTTTCCACCAAAACCTCAATTTTTCTACAATTTTCCAAGTCTAAATCCATACATAATTGATGTACTTAACTCAATATAGGTGGGAATATCTTACCTTAACGTTGATGACGAAAATCCCCTCTTGAAGCTCCCCAGAATCGCCCATGCCAAGTGAAAAGTGAGAGAAGAATGGCCAAAATCCGATTTTAAAACAATCATTCTGCCCCAGCATTTTTCGCACCTGCAGTCCAACGACCGCTTTTGCGGTTCCGCAGGTGCGGTCCAAATACCGCATATGCGGTCCTCCCTGGGCCACCGCAATCTCACTTCTGCGACACACCTCCCGCAGATGCGGCCCCGCTTCTGCAGAACTATGACCGCATCTGCGGTTCTCCCCACGATGCCCTCGCCCGCTTCTGCGACCAGATTTCCGCAGATGCGGTCCCGCTTCTGCGGAACCTTGACCACATCTGCGGCCTTCGAACCTTTGACCAAAAACCGCTTCTGCGGCTCCGTTTCCGCTTCTGCGAGGCCGCTTCTGCGGTTAGCCCACCGTAGAAGCGAAAATACCAGCTACCAGATCCTTCAGCCCTCTTCCAAATTCCAAATTCGATCCGTTAACCATCCGAAATCCACCCGAGGCCCCCGGGACCTCAACCAAACCTACCAAACAATCACAAAACACGCTACGGACTTGCTCGAGGCCTCAAATCACATCAAACAACGCTAAAATCATGAATCGACCTCCAATCCAAACTTAATGAACTTCAAAATTTCAAACTTCTATTTCTGATGTTTAAACCTATCAAATCACGTCTGATTGACCTCAAATTTTGCGCACTAGTCATATTTGACATTACGGACCTACTCCAACTTTCGGAATTGGATTCCGACCCCGATATCAAATAGTCCACCTCCCGTCAAACTTCTCAAAAACCTTCAAATTTCTATCTTTAGCCAAATGGCTCCAAAATGACCTACTGACCTCCGAATTCACTTCCGATCGCGCCCCCAACTCCAGAATCACCCTACGAAGCTATTCACAGTCTCGGAATCCCAAACGGACATCGATAAAACTGAAATGTACTTCAAGCCAAACTTATGAAATTTCTTCTAAAATGCTAACTTCCACAATAGGCGCCAAAACGCTCCCGGGTTATCCGAAACCCGAACCGGGCATATGCCCAAGTCCGAAATCATCATACAAACCTGCTGGAATCTTCAGATCCTAATTCAAAGGTCGTTTACTCAAAATTCTATTCCTAGTTCATTCTTTCACTTTAAGCTTCTAAAATAAGAATTCTCTTTCCGAATCGACCCTGAACTTCCCGGAACTTAATTCTGACCACGCGTACAAGTCATAATACCTGAAATGAAGCTGTTCATGGCCTCTGACTGCTGAACGGAGCGCTAGGACTCAAAACGACCGGTCGGGTCGTTACAGATCTAGTAGGATATTTTCATATGCAAGTCTTGCAGGCAACAAAGTGAACTGAAATAAAAAAAATTGGCATGGAGATTTTGTTAATTCTCACGAAAAAGACAAACTAGAGCACAAGGCAAAGCATGTGTCATTAGATTGCTTGTGACAGAAAGTATTTTAGAAATCTGTCTGGAGGACATTGACCATCATCTTGCAGAAATTTCCTCATATTTACGAAAGAAGGTGGTATGGAAATGATATCCTAGACTATCCTTTTTGGTAAAAATGATTCGTTATCTTGTTATCTCTTTTATGTTTATTATTTGTGTGATTTCAAGTCTATGATAGCATGTCTACAGTTCGATTCTATTAGAACTATTTTTAAATAGATTCAAAATTGTGTCGTCCTACTCTACGCTTTTAGAAGTCTAATAATTCTCTTCAAATATTTGAAATTGTTTTTGGTTGACCTAAAATAAACTATAATTTCTCGTTTTCCGTATGGTCAACAATGATTTGGTTATTCAAAGTTTTTCCAACGGAATCAAACCTTTGGTGTTGATTGCTTAGTGTTTATTTTTCGTTATTCTTTCTTTAAACTGGATGAGTTAATAGATTATGCATTTATCTAATTGAGAAATTCTTGGAATATAGAGCATATGTTTTATTATTGGTTCTAGTTATTTATATCCCATTCCACCCTTTTGATGATGACAAAAGGGGGAGAAATAATGTGTACAAAAGTTCGAAAACTCAAGTAGAGTGTATGGAGACAGGGGGAGCACAACTGAGGAATGCATAGAGTGAGGGGGAGTTCACACTTGATGTACTACATGCATTTCGAGAAGATGATTTCAGGGAAGTAACCAGCTTATCTAGCTTATCCCATTACTGCCCTTAGTTAAGTCTTTGATTAAATTTTCTTATTTTGTACTCAATTGTTTGCCATCATCAAAAAGGGGGAGATTGTTAGCTTCAAGGTTTCACGTATTAATTTTGATGATAATAAACCAACATAATTATTAATCAAAGAACACTTACTTGTGGTAATCTTATTTCTGCACAAGTTTATTCATAAAAGAAGATGATGATAAAGATCAAGACAAATACGGGAAAGAGAATATCATGTGAAGAATTTACCAAGGAAGATTATTTTCGGAGAGTCAATCTCCAAGCATCATAGAAGGAATAGTATTTGAAAGTCAAGTTTCAAATATTGGATGGCTTACTACAATATTGGAAGAAGAATCTATGGAAATTATGGAAGGAAAATTTTTCAAGGAAAGTTGCTAAAATTATGGAGAAGATCTATTATTTTATAGAAGAAAGATAGTACAAGGCCAAGGAAGAATATATTTTCTATGGAAAGAAAATATATTATGGGCATAGTATATTCTATATTATGGAAAGAACTTTGGACAACTAAAGAGAATATTAGTTAGCAAGGAAAGTAAATTCAAAAAGGATATTCACCACAATTTGTAGAAGAAAAGAAAGCCGTTGAAGATTTCATACAAGGAAACAAATCAAGAAATATCTATTTGCAATCTGTCAAGATACAAGGAGCCTTGCCAATCTATCTAAGACTATCAGAAGCTTTTAAGCAAAGATTCTTACCTACAATTATTAAGGAAAGTCTAGCAGGTGCACAAAAGAATATCAATATTCAAAGACTTAGTGGCCATGCTTGGAAAGATCAAAAAAGAATGATTATCATATTCTGCAATTAAGGAGAGACTCACAAGGAAAGGATTTCAAGCAAGACAAAGACAATATTATGTCCAAGTTAATAAGAAGCAATCTAACTTTGGACAAAAAGCCACAAATCATATTTGTTCGAAGGAGGATCTCATGGCATGACCAAATTTATATCAAGGCTAGATATGGAAACAGATATTACTCCAAGATTCGAGGGAGCAATGGATGCAACGAAGATCGCGATAATATTCAAAATTCTCTTGGGTTATGCAATAGCCACAACAAGTTGAGAGGGCTATAAATATACAAGCTCAATGATGGAAGAAAGCATGCAGCCTTCTATACAATTGTCTATCCAACTACAAGTTCTTTATTCTACTCTTAACAAGCATTGTAATTCACTTTAGTAGATTTACTGTGTACACAAAAGAGAGAAGAGAGACAGAAAAATTGGAGAGGCAGTGTGTCCGGATAGGTTGTGTCATTGTTCGTTTCTTTGGTGAGCGAGTAAAACCAAAGGGTCGTTGTTGGTAAGCGAGTGAAAACCAATCCTGTAAACGTTGGTGATGAACGTTGAAAATCACACAAGCTGTACTCAACACAAATTATAAAGAGCTCAAGAGATAACATCCTTGCAACCCAAGGAGACTGGATTAGGATACCACATTGGTTCCGAACCAGTATAAAAATTCCTGGTGTCATTTACTTTATTGCTCTCATATTATATTCTGTTCTGTTACTGTTTATTGTGATTAACACTTGTTTAAATCAAAAGACTAACAGTTCTGTGTAGGCTGTCTCCGCATAAGTCGACTAGGTCCGAAGAATAGTCGACTAGAAATTTAAAAAGGCTATAATTCAACCCCCTCTTATACTTTCAAAAGCGTGACAAACTCTCCATCAAAGCTTATTGCATGTATCAAGGATAATGTGAATGCAGAAATCTGAGGCACGTAATAAAGTTGTGAGACAAAACAAAGCATCACAACTAGTGAGATACATAATAAAGTTTTTCTGCGAAATACCTAGTGTAAATCCAGATGCAGTCGTCTTTTAATATTTTGTGTAATTAATGTTGCGCATGTGATGTGTTCCCCAGGTCAACCTTAATTAATCGAAGTTCCCATCCCATATATTTTTTTTTTTTAAGAAAGCAACTCTTTCTTTGTTTCATCGTATATATAAGAGTTTACTTGCTAACGAAAATACAGTGTCATTACTCATTACACATACCATTTCAGCCATATCAGAGGTATGCCATTTTTCTCTTGGTTACGTACTGAAGCTTTTGTTGTTTTCTTTTTCTTCTTCCATTTGTATTTTGGTACTCTTATTTGTGTTTCTTAATAGGAGTAATATATATCTTTTCTTAATGTATTTTATTGCAGTGATTTTGCAGCTGGTTGCCACTTCCAAATACTCCTGCATTGCAGATCTGCCATTGATAGGTTGGTTGCCCTTAATTACTCATCATTTGATTAAACTTAAGAGCAAAAGAGAACACTTGTTGTGGCTGATTAAAGTTTTGGAAAATACATAAACATAGAGGGTGTGTTTGCTATGTGAGAATTTTTTTTTTTTTTTTTTTTTTTTTTTGGAAAACAGGTGGTTTCTTACTCAAATTAGAATTTTGATTTTTTTTAAAAAAAAATATAAAAAGATAAGTAATTTTACTATTTTGTCATAAATTTACTGATATTTTTAATACTTACTCCCTCCGTTCCGATTTATGTGAACCTGTTTGACTGGGCACGGAGTTTAAGAAATGAAGACTTTTGGAATTTGTGGTCCTAAACAAGTCAAAAAGGGGCCCAGAGTATTTGCGTGGTTATAAAAGCTTCTCAGTAAGGGTCGAATTGTAAGTTTAAGCTAAATTGTTTTCAAATTTAGAAATGGTTCATTCTTTTTGGAACGGACCAAAAAGGAAATAGGTTCACATAAACTGGAACGGAGGGAGTACTATTTTTGTATTATTTTCCATCAGCAAATGAACTTTTGTTTTATCTCAACTCAAATATTTTTATCTATAAATTCGGAATCAAATTATTTTTTTTATTAAAAAATTTGGCAGTTTTGTATAGATATAAACTATCATATCTATAGAAAAAAATTACCATACCTATAGACATAAATTAGATTTATCTAAGATCTATTTCATTCAACTACTTTCATTAATTATTGCCAAGTGACTTCTTTTTAGCTTGGCACTTGGCTTAACCACAATGCATACTATCCTCCTTTTAATATAATATAGATAGATATAGATTGTTGAGCCTTAATATTAAAGAATATTTTTCAGAAATGCATATATATTCACAATATTATTCTTTTCACTACATATTAAATATAAATCATGTGTTTGGATTATTCTCGTGCATTTTATTTTTATTTAATTCTCCTAAGTAGAAGTCTTGTAGAAAATAAAAGATGCAACTATTCATCCTTAAAATATAGATATATAAAACATATGTGCTAGTTGGAGGTAGCAGATACTTAATTGATTAGTTGAGGTGTGCGCATAGTTCGAAAGAACACCATTATAAGAAAAGATATACTCCCTCCGTTTTAATTTATGTGAACCTATTTCCTTTTCAGTCCGTGCAAAAAAGAATGATCCATTTCCCTATTTGGAAACAATTTACTTTTACGCGATTTATAGCTACACAAAATATATATGCCTCATTTTACACCACAAGTTCAAAAGTCTTCTCTCTTTTCTTAAATTCTGTGCCCAGTCAAATGGGTTCACATAAATTGGAACGGAGGGAGTATTAAACTGCATTTCTGCAACTATCAAGTGGATAATATTTTTAACTGTATTTGATAGCAATTTAGTCTCTTTATACAATACAAAACAGTTATCCACCATATTATTCATTAAAAAATGGGTTGGAAAATAAATTTTTCAAAAACGGGTCAAATATGGATAAGAACCATATTATCCACTTAGAATATGGATAACCAATGGATAATTAATGGGTTTAACTTTTACATTTGTAAAGCAAGTTGGGGGTTCCTCATGTTTGGGAGACTAGGAATTCTCCCAAAAGTGATCATATTCAAGAAGCCATGGATAATACGGATATTCATATTATCTGCCGGTTAATCCATTTTTTATCTGTATTAAATATGGGTTGGGTCGGATAATTTATCAATTTTTGCATTACCCATTTTTGACTCGCCCATATTCGACCCGACCTGCCCGTTTGTCACCCCTAAATACAACTATTACGAGAGCATAACCGAAAGGTATAACGTTCGGTTAATCAGAAACCATTGACTTGTTGCAACTGACATTATATCTGTTCTTCTCTATGTTTTTGCCTCCCTTTTGCTTTACTGATCATGTTATTTATAGCACCATTGACCTCTTGCAACTTGCAGCTTTCAGGTGATAATTGGAATACAATAGATATGGCTTATGCTAGTTTTGCTTCTCTTATGAGAACAATGGAATCCGTCTTGACATCCAATTCGCTAATGCAATCTCTAAGAGAAGAATTTCGCGCTCTTCATGATAAAGTTAGTTCCCTGGAAGTTTACCTCAAGAATTTTGAGAAAGGCAATGTTTCTGAGGAAATGACAGATTTGGAGATACAGATAAAAGAAGTTGCAAATGCTATCGAACACACAATTCAACTGCGACTAACAGAATATGCAATGGCAGATGATGAAATGCAGAAACAAATGGCAGATGAGAGGCTCTATGATAGCCTAAAACAAGTAGCCGAGGAGATTGATCGTGTCCAGAAAGAGTTACCAAAGATTCAAAATGAAGGCAAACAAGCATCAAAGGAATCTTTGGTTCAAGATTTAAGTTCAGGAAAACATACTCCGAATGTGGAGAACAATATGGTGGGACGTGATGATCAAAGAAAAAAGTTGCTAGAAGATCTGACTAAAGGCTTCAATAGTGAACCCAAGGTCATCCCGATTGTCGGGATGGGGGGCATTGGTAAAACAACTCTAGCAAGAGACGTTTACAATGATGCATCCATTCGACTTCATTTTGATGTTTGTGCCTGGGCTACTATATCGCAACAACACAATGTAAAGGAGATCTTGCTGAGCCTTGTGCATTCTGCAAAGGGTGTTTCATTTTACATGGACGGTGAGGCAGAGCTAGCAGACATGCTACAAAAGAGTTTAAAGGGTAGGAGGTACTTAATTGTATTGGATGACATGTGGAAGAGTGAAGCATGGGATGATATTAGACTATGCTTTCCAATTCAAAACAATGGGAGTCGAATATTGTTGACGACTCGTAATGCTGAAGTAGCTTGTTCTGCTGGTACAGAGAATCTTTCTTTGAAGATGGATTTCTTGAATCCAGATGAGAGTTGGAACCTTTTTAAAAGTGCGGCGCTTACAAATGAAGCATTGTCATATGAGTTTGAGAGCATTGGGAAGCAAATTGTATACAAATGTCAAGGGTTACCACTAACTATTGTCACGGTTGCTGGGCTTCTGTCCAAATGTAAGAGGACAATAAAAGTTTGGGGAAATGTTGCTAAAGATGTAAAATCATTTGTCACAAATGATCCCGACAAAAGATGTTTACATGTTCTCTGGTTGAGTTACAATCACTTGACCAGTGATCAAAAATCCTGCCTTCTGTATTTTGGAAATTTTCCAGAAGACAGTGAGATTTCAGCGACGCGATTGTTGAGATTCTGGATGGCTGAGGGGTTTTTGAAGTTGGATAAAGACTCGGAAGGAGAGGCTGAGAGGTGTTTACAAGATCTTATCGATAGATGTCTAGTTCTTGTCAGCAAGAAAAGTTTAGATGAAACAAAAATTAGAACATGTAAGGTTCATGATCTAATACATGAGCTGTGCTTGAGAGAAGCTAAAAGCCAAAATGTTTTTGTCCTGAATGACTTTGTATTCGATGATTCGGATGCAGAAAAAGCTGACATTGTACTTGATGATGAGCTATATTCTGTCGCTCCAGAATGTCATCATATTAGTAGGCATAAGATCCGTCCCTTTAAGCGATGGACTGATGGTGATGATATTGACTATGGATCTTTTAGGGCCCTTCTTACCCGTGAACATCATCATTTGATTAGGAGGCATACAGATGATGTCGACAACAATCTCTTGAAACGAACTCGTTCTATTTTCAATTTAACTTCATCTAAACGAACTCGTTCTATTTTCCATTTAACTTCATCTCTTGTGAACTGTACTCTTGGATCAGAGTTTATTCAATTCAGTTTACTCAGAATCTTGGACTTGAGCCTCATAGAGTTAAGAAGTTTCCCTCCACAGATACTATGCCTCATTTGGTTGAGGTACCTAATACTGTCCAGTCGTGGCGGAGGTTTTGACATACCTTCAGATATTTGCACGTTATGGAATCTGCAACTATTCATTGTTGAGCAGGATGGTTCAAGACGTGAATTTTTTCCTCAACAAATTTGGGAACTATCGCAGTTAAGGCATCTTAGGCTGTGTAACTTTTATTTGCCAAATCCATTAAGTGTATCTGTTGACGAAGAGAGTTACTTGACTTTCTCAAACGTACACACTATTTCTGGCTTGTCTCCAACTAGTTGCACAAAGGAGGTTATTTCAGGGATTCGGAATATTAAAAAATTAGGATTCTTTGGAGGTAAACGCGACTATGAAAGGGTTCAAGAATATAGACTTTTGGACAATCTTGTTCATCTACATCAACTTGAAACATTGAGTTTTGTGGTTAAGAATGAGTGGATATCAGGCCAGATTGCACGAGTGACCATTCCGAGTGCTCAAGTTTTTCCAGCAACGCTCAAGACATTAAAGTTGGTCAAAACTCGTCTAAGGTGGAAGGACTTGGACATCATAGGTGAGTTGCCGAATCTTGAGGTGCTGAAGCTGAAATTGTATGCTTGTCGAGGCGAAAAATGGTGTCCAATTGCAGGTGGATTTAATCAGTTGAAGCTTTTGATAATTGAGAGAAATAATTTCAAGCACTGGGAAGCGACGGATGACACTTTTATTGCCCTTGAACGCCTCGTGATTAGAGATTGCCGTAAGTTGCAACAGATACCCATTGAGTTTGCAGAAATCAGTACACTACAACTAATTGAGTTACAAGGTTGTAAGCCCAAACTCAACACTTCTGCTGCAGAAATTCAACAAGAACAAGAAGACATCGGAAATGAACCTGTGCATGTTCGTATCCTACAATCATATTCAAGTGAGTATAACATTACATGAACTTCCCATAATTCGTTATAATTTATTAAGGCTGCACTCGTTAGATGTTAGATAAAAAAAAAAGCAAATTAAATTAGAAAATAGTACTGGTTAAAATGGTGTTAGATGTTGTTGTTTTGTGTAGTTGTAGATGAACATTTTCCGTTGAAGATTTGACGCCTTCTGTGCTTTTATAATGTTGGAAGTCTAGTTTTACCTTGTATAAAGAAAAGACCCCAAGATATTTTAATTCTATGACCTCATGATGATTCAGATGATGATTTAGAAGATGATGATGATGACGACGACGACGATGACAACAACACCAAAGAAGAAGAAGAAGACTGATGATGATGATGATGACCGACGAATTGATCAGATTTATCATGGATAATGCAAACTTAGATTTGTTCATAGTTCATAATGTAAAAATAGTCTCCCGCATCGGCTAAGCGGCAGGGGGCTTGGTCTCCTTTATGGCTTTGGCAATCCTCCCTCATGAGCTAGCTTTTGGAATTGAGTTCGGTTCAATGTCTATATTTTATCATGGTATTAGAGACGGACTCATCCCAATTCTTTGTTTCATCGGATATTAGGCCCCCATCTTATATTGTTTATGCTCCACTTGACAGGTCTGGGCGTGCGGGGGGTATTGAGTCTCCACTTCGGCTAAGGGATGGGGGACTTATGCTCCAGTTGGCTTGGCAGGCCAGGGCGTGCAGGGTATTGAGTCTCCCACATCGACTAAGAGATGGGGGACTTATGCTCTAGTTGGCAGCTGGGCGTGCGGGGGGTGTTGAGTCTCCCACATCGGCTAAGGGATGGGGGACTTGCTCTCCTTATATGGCTTGGGCAATCCTCGCCTCATGAGCTAGCTTTCGGGGTTGAGTTAGGTCCAATAAATCAATATCCCCAGATTCTTCATCTTGTATTTTTATTTGTATTTGTTTTCAAACAGGTAAGGATCATAGCCTAACCTCTGTCTCTGTTTTGCTGTATTTCCATTGAAAGTTTAGTTTCCCTTCTTGTCATTTTATTAAACTGAAATGGAAAAGAGCACTTGTACATTCTGTTCAACATTCTGTTATAGACTACGGTGTTAGTTCATCTTTATGTTTTTTCATATGTAAATGTATATGAAATTATACATCAACATCTGCAACTTACTTCTTGAATCAGAACTGAATTCTAGTTGAGATGTAACATAAGCATTTTACCTCAGAACTAGATATGGATTTGGAATTCTTAGCATATTAAGTTACTGGTGTTGTTCGCTACTGTGTTAAAACACAAAATCAGAAAACTGTTAGAAGAATAAAAGAAACCGAAAAACAGTAAAGAATAAGAAATATTCCGAGTCCACAATTTGCTTGTGCGTCCTTAAGGAATTTTAACCCCCTCACACGTTGCCAAGGTAATGGATTAAATCCTCCCAGGATAAAATGGAATAAACCTTCCTGCAACAGTGGCAATACAAACTGCAGGATACCAACGAACTTAAAGAACGGAGCAAAATCACACTTACGAATTTGAGAGAGAGAGATTGCGAATTAGAATGCAGTATTTTTTCAGAAAGAAAGAAGTTCTGTAATGTTTTTGGTGTGTAAAAAACGAAGCTATGCCTCAGAATTTATAGGCAATTATTGGAAGAGGTGTGATGTTTGTTCTGGAAAAGGTGCCTTTTCAGAAGTTACGCCAGGACCGCGGCCAGAGTGGCCCTCTGAATCTGCAGCAGGGTACTCTTATCGATCGATCATTTGACAAATCCGAATCTGAAGCCGAAGCCGAAGCCGAAGCCGAGCCGAGCGAGCGAGCGACGACGGCGCGAGGGATCATTCTCTTCAACTCCTTTTAAGAGCTTTAAGAAGTGATTCTATATATAAGCACACAAATGTAGTTGTCCCTCACCAATGAGGGACAAAGTGCAAGTCAAAAGCTCACTTCATTCAAATTTTCATTTCCCTCCATTTTATTTCCCACCATTTCCAATTCACACTCTTAGACTTTAAAGCCCAATGCTTAAAGTCTTTGAAGCCCAATGCTTTAAAGTCCAACAATCATGGATGAAAACTGTGTGATTTGCAAGTAAGGATTAATTACATCTGGATAAGTAGGTTTCCCTTTGAACTTTCCGTAGTGAACATATGTCGGATATACTCGGTCAATCGGTAGATTTGATATCTTTGAACCGTCGAACTTTAGTGTATACCTAGACAACCATATGTCACACAACCAATCCTTAACCGTCTTTTGGTTCTCATTGTTGTGTTCGTTTCAGCCATGAACACCGCCTGGTTTCATAAGTGCGTAGAGAATTGGCCTTACAGAATTCTCATTGAAGCGGCTTCCACTTCACACTTACATAGGTGATTCCTAAACGTGTAATCCTTTAGATTGACACTATTTGATAAATACCACATCAAACTTAGGTAATCATTAAAGAAAGTGTAAGGTTCTATCCTTGTTACTGAACATTGTCTTCATCACGAGAAGGGACCAAAGATTTTACTTAATGTTGAACCGGTCAATCACAACTTTATTTGATCTCCTTGAACCTAGATCTCGGAACATCCAAAATTCTAGGTAGAGTTACCGCCATGTTGACTTGTCCTCGGCCATAGTCTCATTCCCTTAGATGATTTCTCAACTCCCTCTCTAGTTAAGCCTTTTGTAAGCGGATCCGCCACATTATGCTTTGATCTTACATAATCAATAGTGATAATTCCACTAAAAAGTAGTTTTCTAACGGTGTTATATCTTCGTCGTATATGACGAGACTTTCCGTTATACATAACGCTCTCTGTCCGTCCTATTGCAACCTCACTATCGCAATGTATGCAAATAGGAGCCAAAGTTTTTGGCCAGAACGGAATGTCTTCTAAGAAATTTCGAAGCCATTCAGCTTCTTCACTGGCTTTATCCAAAGCTATAAACTCTGATTCCATTGTAGAGCGAGCGATGCACGTTTGTTTGGAAGACTTCCAAGATACTGCTCCTCCACCAACAATAAAAACATATCCACTGTGGATTTTGTTTCTGTTGAGCCGGTTATCCAATTTGCATCATTATATCCTTCGATAACTGCGGGATATTTATTGTAGCGCAAAGCGTAGTCTTAGGTATATTCCAAATATCACAGAACTCGTTTCATTGCCATCCAGTGATGTTTGTTTGGATTACTTGTGAATCGACTAAGTTTACTTATTGCACAAGCTATATCAGGTCGTGTACAGTTCATGATGTACATTAAGCTTCCCAACACACGAGCATACTCCAATTGAGACGTACTTTCACCTTTATTCTTTATAAGATGATGATTTAAGTCAATTGGAGTTCTTGCACTTCTAAATTCCAAGTGTTTGAATTTTTCAAGTACCATTTTCACGTAATGTGATTGAGACAAAGCTAGACCTTGAGGAGTCCTCTGGATTTTAATTCCTAGAATTACATCGGCAACTCCTAAGTCTTTCATATCAAACTTACTAGCAAGAATACGCTTAGTAGCTTGAATACCGGCAATATCTTTGCTTATTATTAGCATATCATCAACATATAAGCAAACAATGACTATATGATTTGGAACGTTCTTAATGTAAACACATTTATCACATTCATTAATCTTAAAGCCATTTGACAACATTGTTTGGTCAAATTTCGCATGCCATTGCTTGGGTGCTTGTTTTAGTCCATAAAGGGACTTAACAAGTCGACACACCTTCTTTTCTTTTCCCGGAACCACAAACCCTTCAGGTTGGTCCATGTAAATTTCTTCCTCTAGATCACCATTTAAGAAGGCTGTTTTTACATCCATTTGATGGATTTGAAGACCATACAAGGCGGCTAACGCTATTAGCATCCGAATGGATGTAATTCTTGTTACCGGCGAGTATGTGTCAAAATAGTCAAGACCTTCTCGCTGTCTAAATCCTTTGACAACAAGTCTTGCTTTGTATTTGTCAATAGTACCATCGTCTTACATTTTCTTCTTGAAAATCCATTTAGAACCCAATGTTTTGTTACCTGGAGGAAGATCAACCAATTCCCAGGTATGGTTGCTCAATATGGATTCTATTTCACTATTGACAGCTTCTTTCCAATATTGTGCTTCTGAGGAAGACATTGCTTCCTTGAAGGTACGAGGCTCATTTTCTAGCAGAAAAGTCAGAAAATCTGGACCGAATGGAGTAGATGTCCGTTGACGTTTACTTCTTCTCGGATTTTCCTCATTAGGCATACCATCCGTTATTTCCTCCCGAGGTCGTTTTGACTTTTGGTAGGTCACTTCACTTTCCTTTTTATACGGATAAATAGTTTCAAAGAATTCAGCATTATATGATTCTATTATCGTATTAACGTGAATCTCAGGATTTTCTGACATATGAACCAAAAAACGATATGCCTTGCTATTGGTTACATATCCAATAAATACACAATCAACCGTTTTTGACCTATCTTAACCCTTTTAGGTTTAGGAACTTGTACCTTAGCTAAACACCCCCACACTTTGAAGTATTTCAAGCTGAGCTTCCTTCCTTTCCATTTTTCATAGGGAATGGACTGTGTTTTACTATGAGGTACACGGTTGATTATTCAGTTAGCTGTAAGTATAGCTTCCCTCCACAAGTTCTGTGGTAAACCAGAACTTATCAATAATGCATTCATCATCTCTTTCAACGTTCGATTCTTTCTCTCCGCAATTCCATTAGATTGTGGAGAGTAAGGGGCAGTTGTTTGGTGAATAATGCCATTTTCCAAACATACTTCTTCAAAAGGAGATTCATATTCTCCACCCCTGTCACTTCTTATCATTTTGATCTTTTTGTTTAGTTGTGTTTCAACTTCACTCTTGTATTGCTTGAAAGCATCAATTGCCTCATCTTTACTATTAAGTAAATAAACATAGCAATATCTTGTGCTATCGTCAATAAAAGTAATAAAATACTTTTTCCCACCGCGAGATGCTGTTGACTTCATGTCACAAATATCTGTGTGAATTAAGTCTAAAGGACTTGAATTCCTTTCAACGGACTTATAAGGATGCTTAGCATACTTTGATTCCACACATATTTAACATTTGGAATTAATGCAATCAAATTTTGGCAATACGTCTCTATTTATCATTTTTCGCAATGTTTTAAAGTTGACGTGACCTAAGCGTGAATGCCATAAAGTGTTTGACTCAAGTAAGTAAGATGAAGCATTAGTTTTATTGATAGGAATTGCTATTACATTTAGCTTAAAAAGGCCCTCATTCAGGTAACCTTTTCCTACATACATATCATTCTTACTTAGTACAACACTATTGGAAACAAAAATACATTTGAATCCATTCTTGACAAGAAGTGAGGTAGCCACAAGATTCTTGCGAATTTCTGGAACATGGAGAACTTGGTTTAGAGTCACTAATTTTCCCGACGTCATCTTTAACGCAATCTTGCCAACTCCTTCAATTTTGGCTGTAGACGAATTTCCCATGAAAATTGTCTCGTCGGGTCCTGCGGGGGCATAAGAAGAAAACAACTCCTTGTTAGCACAAACATGGCGGGTGGCTCCAGAATCTATCCATCATTCTTTAGGATTTCTTACCAAGTCGCATTCGGACAACATGGCACACAAGTCCTCCATTTCTTCAACATTTTCAACCATGTTAGCTTGATTCTTCTTCTTCTTATCATTATTTGGTGCACGACAATCCACGGCCTTATGCCCAGATTTTCCACAGTTGTGGCAATTACCCTTGAACTTTTTCTTGCTTGGGTAATTCTTTGGTCCAGAAGCCTTCTTTCTCTTCTTATTTTGTGGCGCCTCCTCAACAATATTAGCCCTGATTATTGTCGAGTTTCCACGTGACTTCTTTTCAGCATTTTTGTTGTCTTCTTCTATCCTCAAACGAACAATCAAGTCTTTAAGTGTCATTTCCTTCCGCTTGTGTTTAAGATAGTTCTTAAAGTCCTTCCTCAACGGAGGTAACTTCTCAATGAAAGCGGCGACTTGAAAGGCCTCATTAATGACCATACCTTCAGCAATGAATTCATAATTAATAACAAGACAAATCTTATTAATAAATTTATTGATTCGGGTCATACCTTCAGCAAGGAGGTCATGCACAATAACTTGTAATTCTTGGACTTGAGTTATGACCGACCTAGTGTCAATCATCTTGA